TACTGTTATAGGTAGCAGATAAAGACGCCAGAGCTCAGATGTGTCCCGTCTCTCTCTCTGGGGTGGATGTTGTCGTGCTGCGGACATAAAACACCAAAGTTTCCAATTCATTTATTCCTCATAATTTGAAAAAAAAAACTACTATCAAATTGAAAATGGAAAATAATTGTAGGTCAGAACACCAAGGACGCTAAAAAATCTTTTTTGGCACCGTGCGTAAAAACGCGCAATGGTTTGGATATTACACAGAAGCAACCCGGAGTTTTTTTGTCTCCAAGAATTTATTTTCTAAAGTCAGATTTGTAGTGCTGCAGGCACTTTTATGAACCGGTACTTAAATGAGCAATTACACCAGAGGTGAGACACAGCGTTCCAGCGCCGCTCCCTGCTTCAGCACCGAGTGATGGATAGCTCTCCGACTCGCTGCGCGGAAACTGAAGGTCCGGTGCTGTCATCCGGTGCGAGCAGCGCCGACTGCGAGCAGAGACAGCTTTAGGGGAAAGTACTGTGCTGTCACTGTCACTCCCCGCCCACAGATAGAGGAGCAGTTACTGTGACAGCAGTGGTGAAGTTGCCCTGATATGCCTCCCAGCTGCGAAGATGACAGATGTTGCTCGCGCGTCGCGGCTTCAAGATAACGTTGTGACGGTGGACGGAACCTGCTCCGGTGAAGCTGTTCTCTTCCAGAGTGCAAAATGGGATACAACCACCTGTTCTCTGTGGGGACGGCGATTTCCTGGGCGCTGCTCTTCACTCAGTCAGGTAAGAAGTACTTTTGAAGTGTTTTTCTCGTCGTGTGAGGAGGTTAATGGAGCTCCAAAACCGAAATCATTGGTTTGAGCCGGAGAGCTGTGCGAGATGAGAGTCCTGCTAAATATTTGTTTTGTAGAAAGAGATAAACATATACATAAGCATTTCATAAAGCTACAAAATGTTTGGTTTATATCAGTTTCACATCTTTGAAATGAACACAGTCAGTCTGAAATGTGAAACATGACCTCTAGAGGAGACACTTTCACTTCCACAGCAGCACTAGTTGAAGTAGAGCAGGTTAGGGTTGGAAAAATGCACCAGAGAACTGGACAAGGAGGCTTCTTTCTCTTCTTTTTCCTAATTATTTTGCTTGTATGTACACTCATTGTATGGACAAACAGAGGTGGTCATGCCAAGGGTACATACATTAAAAAAACAAAAAAAAAAACATTCAGAATTCAGAATAAAATATCATAATTCTGTAAGAAATTTGTTGAAAATATCATTAATGTAGTTGTCCTGCTCCTTTAAGGTCTTCTGTAGTGGTGCCATGTTGATGCTGTTCTCCTAAAAATGTCCCAAATCTAGTTTCCTGTTTTCCCAACAATGGAATAAAAACACCTCTTTGACTTACTTTCAAAACACATCAGAATGTCTTCATCCAAAAATTGGTTTCCATTCTTATATCATTCTCAACATCAACCCCAAACAGTAGAGCTCATTGATTGAAACAAGCCAATTTAAACCAGGCTGTTCTGGGCTTCTTCTTTCTGTATAAACGCTAAAGCAGAACATTTCACTCCAAAGAGAACAGAGCAGAGTGAAGACAACAAATCATGCGATTCGCTCTGACAGCTGTTGGTCACGTTTTCAGGTGGCAGGTTGGTTCAAGACAAGACAAACGTACGTATTTATGGTCAGAATTAGGTTCTTCAAATAGATGTATGTTAAACAGATTGATGGCGTGCAGCCGTAGCGCAGATTTGGTCAAATTTGTCAAAGAAACGAGCACATTTTGATTCAACTTTAAATCCTTCAAGTTTGACGGCGAACCTCAGAGCAGCTTGATTTATAAGTGGCTCCAGGAGCTTCATGTAGACGTCCTGAGATAACGTGTTCTCGTGACATATGTGACAGACTGTTTGAACACAGCCTCCGTCTCCTCCCTCCATCTCTACATGCTACATGCTAATGTGCCGGTTCTTGATCTCGTGCCAGTTCATCTCTCATTATGACTGAGTTCAGTTTTCTTCCAGCTGTGTGTAGTTTTTAACCAAAAAAATTGTTCCTATTTTTTTTTTGTGAACTTTTTTCCCCCACTGTGAGCATCTGACAGTCCAATTTCGCCAAAAGCGCCTCTGGCCAGAGAAGCTGCTGACTCGATCATCTGAGCCGGTCAGTGTTTCATGCACCTCGCCAAGGGGCTTGGCTTCAGTCCAACATCCTCGGCCCAGCGTGCTGGATGTTGGAGGTGTCGTCTCGTTTCAAGACTCTTCTGGCAGGAGGCTTTGATCTACGACGCGCAACAGCCTTTTTTTTCAAGCCCCTCATCTGGTCCTTCCCAGATGCATGAGCAGATGAACATGCGCTGACCTGACTGTCAAAGAGCAGATAAGAAGTCTCTGGTGCATGTTTGTTTGCCAGATTGAAATGAGTTCTTGATGGCAGGAGATGAGCCCGAGTGCGCCTCGAGCAAATTCCCAGTGAATTCACATACTGATTAGCACCTCTGTCTGCTTTCTGCTTTGGCCAGAAAGTCACCAGACGAGATTCATTTTTAAAGGAAACCATGCCAAAAAGAAAATCTCTCTGTGTGCATGTTGTTGAAGCCAAGCCACGAGGATGGGAATTAAATCACTGCCACAGATTTGCATGTGTTCCTCTGGTTATCTCTGCGCAGCATTCGGCTGCTTATCCTTCTCTGGACCGTCCTGCGGTTACAGGGCGTAAAGACTTGATGTTGACAGAACTACAAGTCACCCGTGGACAGGTGATGGTGTGTCCTTGGCCAAGCAGCTGTGACTGCTGCCAGATGAAGGTCTCAGCTGATGGTCCTTCATGGTAGCACACCTCATTGGTTTACATTAAACCCCACAGTGACCCACTGGGTCATTAGCAGCACGGACACTCGATGGCATAGATTTGTTATTATTGACTGTTGAGATGTTTGGTGCGATGCTTCAAATGAGCATCACCTTAAGCACCTCTCCAGACAGAGGTAAGTAGACTCTGTCATAAGACATTTGGCGATGTTGGCAATGTTTTTGATATTTGGGAAAATACGGTTATTTAGCGTATAGATGAAAACATGCATACAAAAGTCTTAATGATCTTTTATGGGAGGTAATAGTGCTGGGCATGGTGGCGGCATCATCATCGGTATTGTTCCTTCAAATTAAATATCGGCCCAAAATGAACATTGAAAGGCAGATTATGCCATCATGAAGGTTAAAAGTTGGCTTTAAAGTGTATCTTAGATATAAACATGTAATGTTTTATATGTCATTAGCAGTAGTTTGCTTGTCTTACCTGATAAATGTGTACAGTCTGCACCTGCCACTGAACCACTGGTAACAGTAGGTATTAAAAGATGTTAGTTCCACTGCAAGAGAAACCTGATGTTCTCTGCAAAATGAAAACATACATATCGTTTGGAATGAGTTGACTTATTGGATATCGGTAAAAAATTCAATATTGTGCATCCTCACTCAGCTGTTTAGAGACACATCAGACCCTGCAAAATGGCAGATTGTCGTTATTTTTCACTTCTGTTTCAGCAACAATGAGTGATTTTTTAAAGAGCTGTTAGTTGGCAGATTCTGACCTTCGTGTTTCCAGGCTTGATGCAAAGCCGACACACGACTGACAGCAGACTCTGAAGTGCAGATTCGAGAGTGATATATCAATCTGTATCAATAGGTCAATCCATAATCAGTTATTGATTTATTCCTCCAGTGTTCAAAGAGAGGAATCGATGAATAATGCATGCCCAAATGTACTATTTCAACTGAATCCTGACCCGCAAACGTGCTGAGATTTGCTTATTGCTGCTCTCAGAAATCCGGCATTAATCAGGCTCTGGTCCACACACGCTGCTGTTTAGCCTCGACTTCAAGTGAAGCCATCAGTTAATTGTTTAATGCATCGGTTGTAACGCGGAGTGACAGACAGCTCAACAATAAACACCCTTCAGTAGTGAGAAATTAGCTCACCTCCACTTAGCACCAGCAAAGTAATGATGTGTGTAATTGACTCTGACTACACTGATGAAGGTGGAGGCTGTAATCCCCAAGGGACCGGATTCCCGTCTATTTCCACGCTTTCCATTCTGCTGCAAAATAATACAGTGACTCAGCCTGAGCTCGGACGCAGATCTGTCTAGACTGCTTATTCAGAATCAATTTAATTAAGCCGCCTCTCGATGTGAAGCCACGCATGCATGATGATGACACTTTACAGATCGTGTAGCCGGGATGGATGGCGTTGCCGTCGAGGGAGACGCTGCCTCCGTCTCCTCCTGCTCGGCTGCAGAGAGATTTCGGCGGGCGACCCTCACGGGGGAGCTCAGATCAAGAGATCAGAAGATCTGCTAAGATGTGTGAAAGTCGATAAGACTTTGCTGAGAAAAGTCTTGGATGGTTAAAGCGGGTGATGAAACATGACACGTTCACGGCTTTCACCCTTTACTCCCCAAAGCCACAGTATGATGCCAGCCAGATTTA